CTGGCTCAGCCCCTGGGCGCCTGCCGGGATGCTGCTGCGGGCGGGTGACGCTCTAGGTCTGTGTCATTGCAAGGGCTCCGGTGCGGCGTTTGCCATCAGCGTCCCCTTTTCCCCAGGAATAGTCTTTTTTTTTTTTTTATAATTCAGCAAAACCTAAGCTAAGAAAAGCCATGAGCCTCGCTGCGTCCTGGGCTCTGAGCTCTGCCCGAGCGTGGCTGTGTTTAAAAAAAATCATGACTTGAAGCCTTTTATCCCGCTTTAAGGCCATTGCAGGCACATCTCCCAGCAGGCTGGGAATTTGGCAGGGTTCCCCCAGATGGAAAGATCCCGTGGGGATGGGAAACGGCGTGGTTGAGCTTTGGGGGGCGGCTGAGCTGCCCGCGGAGTCCCAAGCCACCCCGCAGCCCCCGGCACTCGCAGCTCGGTCCCGTCCCCCCCCAACACGATGGCGCGTCCTCGAAGGGACTACGCTGGGGCAGAGATGCCCCATCCACGGGTGATGGGGTTCACCTCCCGTGTCCCCCCAGTTTCTTCGCTGTGCTCTCGGCAGCCACCGCTGCTGCAGTTGGAAACGCTGCTCTCCTCCTGCCTTTACCAGCCTCCATCATGGGGTCGGTATTTCTAGGGGACACTGAGGCACCGGCTAAGGCAGATTAAAGAGACCGATGATTTTGGGTCATCACATTTTTGGGGTTACCCCCCAAATTGAGGTCTCAAGCTGGAATTCAGCTTCATGCTGAAGCCTGGAGTGAAACCCAAGATGTCCTGGTCCACAGCGTGGGACATCCAGCCCTGCCGGGACATCCCACCATCGCCAGGACCTCACCACGAACCAGCTCCAAACCAAGAGCCTCTCCCACCACACGGCACTAAGGGTTTTGCCCCCAGGTTGGGTGGAGGTGGAGAGCCGAAGGGTGGTCTCCAACTCCTTCTGGACACCTTAGTTTCTCTTCTCATGGAGCTGAAGTTCAGCCTCATGGGACCCTGGGGGTTTTCCCCCAATTCCTGCCCCAGAGCCGATCCTGCTCACCCTCCCGCACCCGATCCTCCGTGAACAGCCAGGCTTGGGGCGGCAGGGGATGAGCAGACCAAGCATGGCTCTGCCAGCGGTCCGGGACTCCATCCGTGCCTGCAAAGGGATCCCGAGGAGCCCTGGGTGGGAGCTGGAGATGTCCGGGCTGATGCAATGCCGAGCAAGAGGCTTTTTCTCAGGGCAAGGGAACACGGTGTGGGCAGACGAGGAGGATCGCTCGCACGCTTCGGCAGCGATTGATCTGAGATCCAAATGGGCAATTTCACCCTATTTGGTTCCTTTGAAAGAGGAATTGGTTTGGGCTGCCTCGTGGGCTCTGCCTTCCTAAGGGGGAGGCTGCAGTTTCCACAGGCTCCGGAGAAAGGTAGGGCTGGTAAGGAGAGGTAATGACCTTTATTTGGCTAAATTGATGCAACTGGAAAAACCAGAGATGCAACCCAGGCTCTCCATCCAGCCCACGAGCCCCAGGTGCACCCCGGCGCTCGCCTGCTTCCTCCAGCTGCATCAATTTGTCCACTAAATGCTATTACCGCTCCCTGCGTGCCTCCTCCTCCTCGGCCCGTTTGACCTCCCGGCCGCAGCTGCGGTGGTGGGAAGGTGAGAGGAAGGAAAAATCCCGGCTTCCGGACGCTGCTCGCAGGCGGTGCGGGGCTGGCGGGGCTGATGCAGGGAGCGGAAAGCCGGGAGGACCCATCGGTCATCGTTTAGCGGCAGATAATGCGGTCCAGAGGTCCCTGGCTGGTGGCTCCTGCAGGATGCGCTGCCTTGGAGCTCGGCCGCTTCTTCGGAGGGATGGCTGCTCCGTCCAGATGAGTGCTGAGCATGAAATCCCCAAATCTCTGCCTCTCGCGGGCTGTGGGTCCTTTCTCAGCACGGAGAGCGCTTGCGCTTCCCCTGCTTGGGGAATTAGGAAGCGATGGGTGATATTCTTCCCTTCTTCTACTAAAAAAAAAAAAATAATCCTATCCTTTTTGGCTTTGCTAATGGAAATCTGGGCAGTGCTGTTGCTCATCCTTCACCCGCCGGGCAGGGGAGGGAGAGCCCTCGCAGCACCGCCCGTTAGTCCATCCTAATTGCTTTAGCACTGTGAGAAACTCCCCAAGTCCCCACAAATCGCTCCCTTAATGAGATCTTTCTTGGGCTTAATGTCTTTGGAGGCAGACGGGCGAGGGGCGGTTCCCCGTCACCCTGAGGGATGCTGGGGGAATTTGGCATCGGCACGTGGACACGGGGGGAGCTTGGGACGTACCCTGCTCCGTCCCCTCACCCGTCCCCTGGCCGTATCCGTATTCCCAGCATCACATCCGTGCCTGGGGCTGCCCTGGCTGCAGTCAGAGGTCTCTAAATAAGACAGTAATGACGTTAACAGTGGACAGTTGCCCTCCGGGGCCAGTCCCGGTTTGAAGGACTCCAGTGAAATTTTTACTATAGATCTGGATCTCTTTGATAAGACCGTCTCTGAAGTGGCATCGTTTTCTCTTCCCGCCTCTGGCCGTTTTTTGGACACAGCTCAGAGGGGAATGGAGTGAGGCCCCATGACGTGGCATCACCTCCCGGCACAGTCCCCTTCTGCCACGGGAGCGTTTCCCCTCTTGCCTCGGACTGCGATGCCGTCTTGGCCCATGCAGGGCCAAGGAGAAGCACGTGGTCATTGCAACCAGGGTGTCCCAGGGAGCCTGGGCTTTGCCGACAGCCGCGTGTTGGAGAGCGACAGCCCTTGTCAGGTGTATGGGGCTGCCGGCTCTCCCCGGCCGCGGTGGGAGCAGCAGCAGAGCAGCTCTGCCCAGGTTGCCTCTTGTTTTGGTCCTCTCCCGACATCGCTTGGCGAGTCCTGATGCCCCCATCCCCGGTTCTCCAGGATGAAAAAAAGCCTTTGCAGTCACTTGCTGGCAGTCTGAACATAAACCCAGCGGCGTTATCGAGCAGCGCCCGGGCCACCACTCTGCTAGAGCTCCGTGGTGGTGACCTGGGTCACTTCCGAGCGCAGGTCGTCCCCTCCGTGGCCCTGGCAGCCCCGCTGGAGGCTGCCCACGTCTAGTCATGCCGGCTTGTTGCGGGCTTCAGAAGGGGTGCAGGTGGAGACGTGCTCCCGCGTGGTGTTTCTGGTGCGGGAGAAGCTGTTTTGGTCCACGCGGGCTCGGAAAGGCAGGCAAAACTCTCGGAAGCACCTCTTGAAATTTTCATCCAGGAAAGCATAAAGGACGGGGTTGAGGCTGCTGTTGGTATAACCCAGGGCGATGCAGAAATGCAGGCTGGCCACCACGTAGGGGTTCTTCTTATCTATGTCCACCAGCGTCCAGACGATGACGAAGATGTGGATGGGCGGCCAGGGGATGATGAAGGCTGCCACCACCACCAGTACCATGCGCGTGATGCGCCGCAGGTTGCGGTCTTTCTCCTTGGAGCCCGAGAGGAGGCGGACGCTCTAGAAGGATCATCAGCCCGTAGCAGATGGTGATGACCAAGATGGGGACCATGAAGGCGAAGATGAAGACGCAGATCTTGGTCACGGTGTCCCAGTAGATGGGAGGATCCGGAAACTGGAGCGTGCACAGCACCATCCCGTCTGTGGGAGAGAGGATGATCAAAGATGGAGCGGTGGAGTGTCTGCTATGAATACTGTCCGCCTTCTGCTCGGTTATGGTTGGGCATGTCCACGCTTGTTAAAAACACAAGGAGGTGCATGCCCACCTGCCAGCTCTTTGCAGAGATTCCCCAGGAGCCTTGTGCCACCAGCCCCCTGCCCACGGGGTGCCGAGGGGATGTAAGTGGGTGCAGTGACCCAGGGACCTGTTCCCTGCAGAGCCTCCTGGGCCTTCCCCACGCTGTCTCCTCCCAACCCCCATGGGGGACATGTCCCTGTGTCACCTTACACTGAAACCTGTCCACTTCCTCAAGATGCCCAGAGCTTTCCCAGCAGCCAAGGGCTGGCGTCCTCGCACAGGAGCTGCGGATCTTAGCGTGGGCCAGTTGGGGACTTTGCAATACCATTGGGAGTGTTTTCAGGCACCCGATTTGCACCCCGGGAGCTGGGGAGAGGCACTGGCTGGACTGGAGATGGGGAAGGGGGAGGACAATTTCTGGGGTAGTCTGCAACCTCTGCAGCCAAGATGGAAGAATAACACCGTGATGATTTTTCCATGGCAGGGCACGCTTACGGTCCCACGGAGGGGCGCTCATCACTGAGCTCAAACCTGCTACGGGACCAGGTGGCTTGGGTTTGCCAGGTCACCCCCAGGACGGACAGATGGGACAGGAGGGGACCTTTCCCCAGAAGCCACTTGCCTTTTGACTTGGTGACCGCCATGGCCATGATGGGCACCCCAATGAGGGAGGAGAGCACCCAGATGCCGACATTGATGATCTTGGCCTTGGCCGGCGTGCGGAAGTCCAGGGCCTTAACCGGGTGGCACACGGCGACGTAGCGGTCCACACTCATCATGGTGAGGGTGAAGATACTGGTGAACATGTTGTAGTAGTCAATGGAGAGCACGACTTTGCAGAGCAGCTCCCCGAAGGGCCAGGTCTCCATCAGGTACTTGGCACTCTGGAAGGGCAGCGTGCTGGTGGCCAGCGCGTCTGCCAGGGCCAGGTTGAAGATGTAGATGTTGGTGGCTGTCTTCATCTTGGTGTACCTGGGGACGGCAGAGAAGCGAGCCGTTACAGGTGGTCAGGGCTGGCTTACCATGCCCAAGAACGTGTCTGCACGCTCAGCGTGATGAGGAGGGGGCACAGCCTGGCTTTCCCTGGCTGCTCGCAAGGTGCCATCACCCTTGGTGGGCAAAGGTACGTGCTTGTGACGTGCCCTTCTGCAGCACCAACGTGCTCAGCACCTTTCCAGATGGACCAGGGAGCACGTTGAGAAAGTACTTGTGCTCCTGCATGGTTTTAGTGTGTGTTGAAGTCCCGGTGCCTCACCACAGGACCTTATCCAGCACCTGCAGAACATGGCTCAGACCCTGCCGAAGCGGTTATCCCTTACCTGACCAGGGAGGTGACACTCATTCACATGGCTGCCTTTATTCAAAGGAAATCTGAAGACATTTTCAGAGAAGTCACTTCTCCAATTAAATCGATTTACTCCATTTCCCTGAATCAGTTGCACAATGTCCTTTACCTCTTGAAACCTCCTTTATCTGATTTTCCACCCAGTAAATTGTGATTATCTAGCCTGCTTCCCTGTCGAGTTTACTTGCAGAAATTGGATCGATTACCCCCGGAAACAGGCCATCTGGAAGCAGCCCAATTAGCCAGGCTGGAGCTCCAGAGCCTTTGGGGAAGCCTGGCTGCCTCGGCCACGGAGCGTGGCTCGGGGGGCACGGTGCCGCTTCCCCCGGGGCATTCGGCAAGGGCTGCAGCCGCCCGTGGCTGGCACGCCAGCTCTGGTCCTTGTCACACCACGGTAAAAGAAGCGCCCGGTCCTGAGTGCCAAAACCCTTCCTGAAGGGATGAGGCATCGTTTTGGTGGGTGCCAGGGCTGGTAAGCGCCGTGGCCGGTGGGGATGGGTGCGTGTCCTCGGAGCATCCAGCCCTGCAGGTGTTGCTCAAGGTGATGCTTTGAACGGCGTGGGTGGTTTGAAATGGACGCTCATCCCTGCTGTCGGGGGTCCCCAAAGGGCAACACGTTGGGGTGGGGTCAGGGTGGGGGCTCTGCGGCCACCCCCGGGTTGTTTGCTAGGCTGAGGTCGCGGCTACGCCAGCGGCTCGAACCCTCCCCATGCGCTCCCTTCCAGCAAGTCCCCATCGCTCAGAGCATCCTCTGCAGCCCCGAGCTCATTTAGATGCACCCTAATTAATTAACAAAAGCATCAGTTTGAACACAAGCATCTCTGCGCGTGGCTCACCCTGCCTGTGGCATCCCCAGGGTGGGGTTCGGTCCTAGACAGAGGGGGGGGCTGAATTCGGCCCTGGTGCATGGGGGGAGACAACTCCCTGCTTGCCAGATGAAAAGATACTGGCACAGCTCATAGAATAAGCCCATCGTGTGATGGGGTACTTGGAATAAATTGGGGCGAGGGGATTGAGTAGCTCCCATCTCAGATGGTGGTTGCGCTGCTGCCCCGGCTGAAGGCAAGGAGAGCAGGTTGGTGTAGGAAGGAGGTTCCTGGGCTCGACGGTAATAACAATTCCCTTCATTTTATCCTTTTCTCCATCTCAGCAGGGTCGGGAGAACATGCCGGCAGGGGCAGGGACCCATCGGGTCACGCTGTCGGTAGAGCCAGGAGACAGAGGCTGCAAAAACCATTTCTCTCTGGGAGAAGCTAGCAGCTCGGACCGGCTCCCAGCCCCAGCGGCGCTCCCTTCTCCTTCGCCTTGGCTGCAAATGGCAGCCCCTTGCCCAAGGGTGGAAATGTTTCAGCTGAACTTTTTTTTTTTAAATTTTAAATACGGCATAAAAATGTCTTTTCCTTGAAAATCCCTTTTCAGTTCTCTTTAGTGTTATTTTCCAAGCTCTTTTGCGAATGCATCTCTTCGAAAAGCTTCATCCAGGGTTAAACAAAAACCTGAGAATTTGTGTTATTGCCAGGTTTTGGCTCGCCTAGATTAAAAGATAGTCACTTCAGGCAGATTGACACTTCTTTGATCTCCGCTTTTCGAGTAAAGTGGAAAAAAAAATCAGTTCTGCACGCCGTGCTCTGCCAGGCGTGCTCGGCCGTGCTGGGTAAGCACTTCCCCAAACCCCCTGCCAGATGTGCCGGG